GCAAACTTGGCCAGTCCGCTCCTGACTCCAATGTCCACATCATTTATGAAGATGTTGAACAATATGGGTCCAAGGACAGAGCCTTGAGGGACCCCACTGGTCACAGGACACCATGATGAGTGACTGCCATCAATTACAACCCTCTGGGTCCGACCACAGAGCCAATTTCCCAGCCAGCGGATCGTGGTGGACCCAAGGCCACAGTTGGCTAGTTTTGCCAAGAGGTGGTCAGGTTAGATCAGGCCAGCCATTTTTTTGCCTGATAAAACCTTCCTGAACATATGTACATATCAGCACTTACGTAGACCTGATCCTAGTTAGGTTGATCTAAGTGTAACATATGCATGTACCCTAAAACTACCCAACAGCCACATAAGCCAGAATTAATTTCAAGATAATCTGAGTCAGCGTGTGTATTTTGCATACACATATACCAGTCTCCTTCCACTTTAAATGGACAAGCCAAGAATTTTATTACTACTGGAAAAGTATTATTTCATAGTTGGTAGGGTCAGAAGGGACCTGAGCAGATCATCAAGTCCGACCCCCTGCCATGGCAGGAAAGAGTACTGGGGTCAAACGATGCCAGCAAGGTGTTCATCTAGCCTCCTCTTAAAGACCCCCAGAATAGGAGCCTGCACCACTTCTCTTGGAAGTTGGTTCCAGACCCTAGCCACCCTGACAGTGAAGTAGCGCCTCCTGATGTCTAGTCTGAATCTACCCTCTGCCAGCTTGTGACCGTTATTTCTAGTCACTCCTGGTACTGCTCGGGGGAATAGGGACTCCCCCAATGCCTGCTGGTCCCCTCTGACTAGTTTGTAGACGGCCACAAGGTCCCCTCAGCCTTCTCTTGTAGAGGCTGAACAGGTTCAGGTCCCTTAACCTTTCCTCGTAGGGCCTGCCCTGCTGTCCCCGGATCATGCAGGTGGCCCTCCTCTGGGCCCTCTCCATGTTGTCCACATCCCTCTTGAAGTGCGGTGCCCAGAACTGGACGCAGTACTCCAGCTGCAGCCTGACCAGTGTGGCATAGAGGGGGAGGATCACCTCCTTGGACCTGCTTGAGATGCATCTGTGGATGCATGAGAAGGTGCGGTTGGCCTTCCTGACCGCTTCCCCATGTTCTGGATTTTTTTTGTGACCTTCATGTTATTGTACTTTAGCCTAAAAGACTGTAAGTGGATATGATAACATATGATGACAATTTCCCATCCAATGTATTTACTACGATATAAGAATTCAATGGTAGGAAGATGCTATTCTAATATAAATGTATATTGTTGGAATTTATGCTGATATAACATCTGCTTAAAGTAAGCTACTTTGTAAACTGTTTTTCTAAGTGTACAAATTCAGTCTTAGATTGGATGCATCACCACCACCAAAGATGCTGCAAGCCAAACTCTGTTGTTAATTATGGCTATAAAATTCAACTGCCTTGAGATCATGTCTTAGTTCTACTTGGGGTACTTCCCTGACCTCAAATTCTACCCTTCATCATCACTGGTATCTTATCTTCAGCAAAAGACCTGACAGTATCACATATTGTAAAATGTAACTCCTCTTGCTTTCAAGAAACTTATACTGAAGAAGGCCCCCAAGAGATAAAAGCTCAGGCCATTATAGTAACAGTTTCCTGGGCTGGGAAAGAATTTACTTCCACCCACAGAGTTCTTTAAATTTCTAATTATAACCACTCCACCCATGCCAATCCCTTATAAACAATCCTGATTCTTTACTAAACTAAGTCAAGCCATGTGGATAAGCTTGAGGACATTTATTAATTCTAATTTTGTTGAAGAGTATAAAGTAAATATTGAAATAAATAGTCATTAGCTATAGGAGTTTGAACAGGTGTTAGGAGCAAGAGAAACTTTGAGGCTGTTTCTGGTATATCTATGAAACAGTTGTGCCAAAGCAAACTACTATGATATTTGACCTTTCTAACTTAGCTGTTTGTTAAGAATATACAATGCAAAATGTAAATAACTGCCACTGACCATAAGTAAGTCAATGTTTAGAAAAGATGAAAAGGGCTGCTGCTGTCATATAAAACTGTCTGTAAAAATGTTTGTTTTTTATCTGAAGTTAGAGCTATGTGCAATTTTACGTAATAAAAATGTTTAGGAAAACAAGTGGGAAAAAGTTAATAGAATTCAACTTCTGTGCGGTAACTTTAAGAACAGCCAAAACCAACAATGGTTGCTTTACAGGAAACAACTCACTATGATAACTGCTGGCCTCAATGCGCTCAAACACCAAATTGGTGGTCTGCCATGATGAGACTGATATCTGTATGTCCCATCTTCCAAGAAAATGGTGCAACTACCAGGCAATAGACTTTTCTGGAAAATCAAGAATGAGACACTCGGCAACTTCTTACTGCAGCTAGCCCACTGTGCAGGAAGACATTGAAGATTCACAGGGCCAGGAAACAGAGCCAGGCTTAGGGAAAATGATGCCCTGGGTGAACTTGCATTTTGATGCTCACCTAGCAGCTCTCCTGACACAGCAGAAAGCAGCAGCCCCAAGTAGAAAGTGCTGACAGCGGTACCCAGGCAGAATGGCTCCCCTTTCAGCTCAGAGTCCAGCAAGCACTTGAGGCCCACAGCAGTAGTGCTGAGTGTGCAGGTGAACAGGAGGCAGCTGGAGAGCATGACACAGGCTCCCTGGATGCCCCACTTCATCCTCTGCTGCTCCCCCACTCCCACTGGCTGTCCCTGCCAGTCTCATCACCACTACTGCTACCCTCCACTGCCAGCCCATCCTCATCCTCCTGTGTCCTCCTCAGTGGCAGCCCTTCCTGGCGAGGTGGCCGCTGCATGCTGCCCAGACATGGTGGCAAGAGCTCTTGGGAAGAGCTACTGCTCCACAGGCAGCCGCCAACCGCAGTTAGCCAGGATGAGAGAAAGGAGGATGGCCTCCTTCCACTCTACTGCCTGGCATGGTTAGAAAAAAGGTAGAACTTTTAGCATAATAATTACTTGTGAGCACTCCCTTTTTGCACAGTAGTACTTTTTGTTTGGACTAATGACATGCTGGCTTTTGGACCTGACGTTTTCTTGGCCAGGATATGTTAATTACCTTATGAAGAGGAAGCACTTTCACTTTACATTATGTAATGTATTGTTTTCCAAGTGGTGGTCCACAGACCACGGGTGGTCCATGAGGCCATACTAAGTGAGCTTCGGCTTATAGTGGGCTTTCCCTCTTTTTGATAATGGAAAGAATGCAGGATGATCCATAAGAAGTGGTGAAGGTTATCAGTAGTCTGTTGGTTCAAACTGTTTGGGAAACAATGATTTAGCTAGTTGTCTTTGTAATAGGATGGTGGAGTGACTTGCGTTTTAGAACCTTCATATATATGGCAGCATTTAATCAAGTTTACCATTATTTTCCAACATTTTCCAACTTCTACAACTATTATTTGCAACAGGATGAGGTCTACATCTACTAAAACTTTCTCCACTACCCATACATTCACCAGGTTGCCGTAAGACCCTAATTTGCAACAGGTAGGGCTTTCCTGGCAGAACCAGCCTTAGGGGTGGGCAATGTGGGTGACTGCCCAGGACACAGTGATCTGGGGGGCACCACACACACACACACACACACTTCTTGCCTGCCCAGGCTCTCCATACTTGAGTGATAACTGCTACTGCTGCTTTAACAGCACAGGCTGGGCTGCTGCTGCTGAGGAACAGGTATCACTACTGGGGTTTCTCATGGTGCTCTACTTGCTCCCCTTCACCCCCAGGAGCATGGTTGACCCTCCCATGACAATGCTCCCTGGAGGAAAGCGCCATCATTCCACCCCTTTCCAGCGCTGATATACCTCTGAGCATGGAATTGACCCTACCTGGTTCCTTACGGCTGGCCTGTGCATGGCTTGGAAAGACTCATAGAAGGAAGGGACCCTACTGCTGCCCCTCTCGCCCCTCCCTTGTTATGCTAGTGTATGGCAATCAGTCTGACCCTAAGCAGAGGAGCAAGACCCTCTAGCCAAGAACCTCTGGAGTTCATTGTGCCAAAATGGTTAAAAATAATTAAATGAATTGGTTAAATTCAGAATGTTAACAAGTCTTAAAAGATCCAATCATCTCACAATAAATTCAATATGTTTTTAGCACATTTGGGCTAGTTTGGTAAAACCTTGTTAACAGGCTAAGTGCTAAAGAAAGGAATTAGGTACTTAAAACTATATTGATTTCTTAAGATGTTTTAAAATACAGCAAGCTAATAGTTTGAAGAGTCAATTATACTGCTGTTATGATTTACCAAGGGTGGTTTTTTTGTATTTTCCTTTTTATGTTTAAAATATTAAAAAAATAATAGTAATAAAATAAAATATATGTACCAACAAAATGATTCACTTGTTTTTTTATTTATGCAATATATATGCTACTCTTCCAAAGTTGTTGTATTTCAGAAAATCTTGTGAGGATGATGGGAGACTTTGATGCAGCTTGCTGCATTTTTATCAAACTATGCCCTGCTGATTTATGGTGTCAGTGACGGTTAAACACATTACAGACAAGTGTAGCAGATTCTGCACCTGTTGCCTATTGCAGGGCCCGGGCTGTTAGCCTAGATGGCAAGGGACTTCCATTAAGAAGGGCAAAACATAATTGCGCTCCACTAGATGGTTCAGAACCTCTCATAGTAAAAGGTTATTCAGAAACTGCAGTGCTCAAAAAGTGATTAAGCAAGGAGTAATTCACACATGAGTAATTACTCACACGAGTAATTTGCTAGGAACCCAAGGACTATACATGATTTGTATTAAATGCAAATGGCTTGTGCTCTTTTATACCACATCCTTGGCCCATTATAGCCACAGCTCCTTAAATGCTGACGCTGCAACACTTCAGCAAGCAGTCTTTGATGGAGACTGGGATAGTGCGCTGTTCATAGGCAACAGAATTCTCTATGGTTTCTTACCACTACCTTATTTACTTATTGATGTGCTGGTGATGCACATGACTGCACAGCCAGATTATACTGAAAAACCTTAACTGAGAATGTTGTGACTTTCAAGTTACCTGTCAATTCTAAATGCATGCTTTTTGATTAGGTATGTGCAATAGAAGTATATCCATTTAAAAACTTTGAATGCCCATTTCTTTATTTCTCTTTACTTGAGAAAATAGTACTGAGTGCATACAAGCACATGTTTTTTTTCTAATGTTCTCTGCTTTAGCAGAACAAGTCTTACAGTAAGAAAGACTCTTTTGTGCAAAGCAGTCAGTGTACCTACCTGATACAAAACAATGTTTATGTGAAACTATTAAAAATCCTTGTCAATTTTAGGTGATCAGACAGGATGTAAAAATAAATATAGTTGTACACACAACTGTGACTTAAATATGACTTTATAAGCTTGGAACACACAATCACAGCCCAGCTTTATTTGGAGAAAAAAAAAAAAAAGCATCCAGATTTTTCCTCAGCAGCTTCCAAAGAAACCCTTCAACTCACCCTCACCACAAGCAGCACTGGGAGAGGAAACCCCATGGCCTGGCTGGGCCCAGCCAATGTAAGTGCAGGCAGTGCAAAGCCTTCAGTGGGGCTTGGCCAGTGTAGTTAGCTGATCCTTTCCTAGTTCAGCTGGGAACCCATCTGAACTTGTAGCCCCCAGTTGCTGTCCTGATCGTGAAAGCATTGCCCTGAGGGAATGCCAGTGTCCGGATCGTGCCATGCTCCTTGATGGAGGTCCTGAAAGCTAAGCCTTCTTCCAGCTCACTGTCACCCAGCTCCACAGAGCTCTGGCTGAAACATGTCTCCAGTCCATTGAAGGCTCCATGCAGAGGGATGGCCTGGCGCTCCTCAGCTTGAAGCCGCAGGCGCTTCATGTCCTTGCTCTCATCAAGCGTCTGCAGAGCGGCATGGCACTTGTCTGAGATCTCCCGCAGGATCTCATCTACCCCCTCACAGCCCTCCTGGCCAGCGGCAAACAGGTCCTCCAGGCCCCTCTTCACTGTTCCCTTACAGTGGGAAGCATCTGGTGCTTCCTGGGCCTGCTGGACCATCAGTCTCTGGGAGAGGAACCAAACACACTGATTTCAGTGCCTGCCATGCACTTCCCCTTCCCCCCATTGGACCGTAGCAATCCAGGGGCAGGTAGTTCCTGCTCCCCCAAGGCCTAGAGCATCCCCTGGGCTAAGTGCAGACAGTCGAAAAGCCCAAGGCTGAATCAATTAAATCTTTGCAGGTTAGTCTAAACTGCAGAGAATGAACAGATATTCACTTTTGATTCCAGAAGTACAGCCACATGCCTGCAGTAGCTCACGCCAGAACATGCCTTCCTGCTCAGGTAGTACAGACAGCTTGGGCCAAGGTTACCCCACCCCCCCGCTAAAGGAGGTTTGCAAAGGAGGTGCAAAGTAGGGGTGTGCAAAGCAGGCCCTATTCAGTTCAGATTTGGCCCAAATCAGGGATAGTGATTTGACTAATTGATTCAGATCACTGTCCCTGATTCAATTAATTCGAATCCAAATCTGAAGATTCGATGCTGATGTGGAGAATCAGCAATTCGGACATAGACACAGCTTTAAAAGTTTTTTCTACATACCTTGAGATAGCAGGCGCTGTGATGCTGGGGAGCATGGAGCGTCCCACAGGAGCGTGGGGGGACCCTCCACATGCTTGGCAGCGAACCCAGAAGTGGACCAGAAGTCCTTCCGGTCCACTTCCAGGTCTGCCAGGGAGTGTGCTGGGCCCCACCCCTCCACTCTCTCCCAGCTTGGCCATGTGCCTCCCCCCAGACCCCATGTGCCTCCCCCCAGACCCAGGAGGTACCGGTCACCGAGCCAGGTGGCCATGAGGGGGGCCCCCAGTATGCTCTCCAGGTCTGCTGCTGAGCACACTGGGGACCCCCCCAGTGCTTCTATGGGATGCTCCATGTGCCGCAGCATCACAGCATTCATGAGCCCCTACTACCTAGAGGTATATAGAAAAAACATTTAAAGCTGTCTCTATGTCCAAATCACCGAATCTCTCCAAATCAATTTGGAGGGTTCCAATTCAATTCAGAGAAATTAAAGGGTCCTCTGATTCGATTTGGATCCAGAGATTCAGCCATCGAATCAGGCCAAATCTCCGCCAAATCGAATCAGGGACTGAAGCTTCACACAGCCCTAGTGCAAAGCATCCTGGGATGCTGGGTGACTGAGTTAACTTGAATCTGGAGGGGATCTGGGATGGACATGCAATAAACTGATTTAACCTAAATCAGTTAAGTCTGATTCTACATCCATCCAGGTTTATCTTAAACAAGTTTCAGCCACTTTGAAAGCAGTTTATGTGCACTGAACTTCTGTGGTGTTACAGATTTGAACCAGTTTTCGATCACTTATAACAGCTGAGGTGTAATTTCCATCCCTAGCTCTGGTGTCCTTGCTTTGATGCCCTGAGGACAATAAGGAGACTGGGGAGGGGGGTGGGGGAGCACTTACATTAAGCACTGAGGCCAGCTGCTTGGCCTGGCTGGCCAACTCCTTCAGCTGCACGTTCTTCTCCTTCAGGGATGTGATCTCCTCTTGCTTCTGGGATAAGGTGACGTGGAGCTGTCAGAGGAGAAGCAAGTCAAGCATCACTACCTGGGTACTGGCATGTGACTGCGCCATCCCACTGGTGAGCAGTGCCAGCCCCACACAGCCAGCACACACTGAACAGAGGAGGGGGTTTGGATTGGCTGGCAAGAAGCAGGGCATCCTCTGGGTGACTCAGACACCCCTGCTGGGTCTCTCCCCCTACCTGGTTGTTTTCCACCAGCGCATCTCCCAGCGCTCTCTGGTTGTGGTCTGCCACCTCCTTCCAGTACTGCTCAGCCGGGGCAGCACCTGATAGGCTGGGCTGCGGGATGGGGGTACCTGGCACAGTCTGAAGGCAGGGGTTGAAGGCAGATCCATCACTCAGTGGGAAGCTGAACCCAGCAGCATCCAGTGGAGGTGGCATCAGGTCAGTAGGATCTGCGGGAAGCCGTAAGGGTTACACAGCTGCACCCGGGCACCCACCACTCCAGAGCCTCTGGCATCAGTGCTGGGGCCCAATGTAACATGGACCCATGGTCCCCATTTGGGGGATGGGGATTTAGAGCGGCCCCTGCAAGTCCCTCCAGGCTCCCCTCCACAAGGGCAGGAAATCATTGCTGTGGCCAAAGGAAGCCCCAAGCTGCAGAGACAGTGCCTGTCCCGGGTGCGTGGAGGGGGGAAGTACTTGCCAGGAAGGAAAGTGCTGACGGCATCTCTGAACTCCTGGAAGTCGAAGCTGAGCTCGGGCTGCAAACAGGGAGCCTGAAATGAGATCCTGCCTCAAGCACTGGCCGTGGCTCCCAGGCACTCCCACCTGGCCTCGGCCCCCACCTGCCCGCCTGGGTGGCACCAGGAGGCAGCAGGTGCATATGGCCATGCTGCCGTTGAGTCACCCCCCAGCTGGGCTCCCCATGGGTGGCTCCAGAAGCCAACTACCCACCCACCCCTGCCAGGTGTCCTGTGGCACCACAGCACCCCTGTGCACCTGGCCTTGGCCACGAGTGGAGCTGGCCCCCCATCCCCGGTGCTGTGGAAAGCAAGACGAGGGCCAAATGCCGTGCTGAGCCCTGGGGAAGCTGCAGCAGCCCGAGGCACTGCACTCTTCCAACCTAACCCATGTGATCCCTCCTCCCACTTCGTTTCTTGTCCCCTGCAAGGTGCAGGGCAAGAGTTCCCTGCCCCTTCTCTTTATTGCATGTTTTACTGCAGCAGGGACAAGTGTCCCTGGAATAGTTTCACTCAGGCATAGACAGTAAGGGAAGAAGAATGGAGACTGGCTGAGCAGGCAGCATGAGAAATCCTGCCCATTTTACAGATGAGGAAACTGAAGGCATCATGAGATCTGGGAGCAGCAAGACAGAACTCCCTTTGCGCAGTTCTGTCTGCATAGGTTCAGCCCTCTCCTCCCTGAGGATGCATGGCCTACAGCAGTCCTTTCCTTCACCCTGCACCCAAAGGCAGCTTCTTCTGAAGCTCTACCCCCTTTGGAGTGGCCCCTTGTCAATCCCTTGCTACGGTGACAGGCCCGTGCTGCCTGCCTTCCTTGCAAGCCTGCTCAGAAAGACACTGAGGAAATGAAGACTCCAGCAGATCTTTTGTTATGGCATGGGTGCTGCAAGCAGTGTTGAGACTTTAAATTGGGATTTCCAGTTCCATTTGATTGGTACCTATAGCCGGGTCCAGGTTTGATTCTTATCTCTGCCACTAGGGTGCTTGGTGACCTTGGGCAAATCACTTCACCTCTGTCTGCCTCAATGTGCCCCTCTGTAAAATGGCAATAATGGTGCTGGCCTCCTATGGAAAGCACTGTAAAGAGCTGGGTATTATTTTAGTGCAACAGCAACCAGAAGCCCCACTGTAGGTCTAGTCCCCATGGCCCTAGGAGCAGTACAGACATATATCAAGAGAATCCCTGCCCCCTCACAGACAAGGAGCTTAGAGTGGCAGTGATGGCACTGGCTGGCTGGATTTGAGTGAATTAAAGAAAAAAATTCTAAGATGTGGAGATCCTACCAGGAACAGGGGTTCCCACTAGTCCCTTTCTCCAGTCCTTATAATAGATAGCTTCCAGAGTGCTACATGCACTGACCCTCACACAGTCTCATCCCTGGGGCAGACTGGCAGCCTCCCCTCCAGGAGTTGCCTGTTAGAAATCAAGCCCTTTCCTTTGCTGCTCAAGTCTGCCTTATCCTTACTGTGTCAGATCCAGACAGCAGCAGGAGTCCCCCTATTGACTACAGTGGGCTTCAGATCAGGCTCTGCACCCAGAGCAGGATGCGTATGAGAGCAAGCAGCAGCAGCAGCTCCCACCATGGTTGTTACAGCACCTCAGGTGCGGCAGTGGTTGTGGTGGCCGCCAGACTGACTTGACTTGAGTGGAGCTCGTACCACCCCCCCAGGCCGGGAGCCCCTTTCAGCATCTCTGATGCTTTCAGTGCCTGCTGCCAGCACGTCTGACAACCTCGATCACACGCTGCTCCTGGTGCCTCTAAACAAGCCAACGCCGGGGGGGGGGGGGGGGGGCCCCCCCCCCCCCCCCCCGGGGGTTTTTTTTGGGGCCCGGGGGGGGGGGGGGGGGGCCCCCCCCCCCCCCCCCCGGGGGTTTTTTTTGGGGCCCGGGGGGGGGGGGGGGGGGCCCCCCCCCCCCCCCCCCGGGGGTTTTTTTTGGGGCCCGGGGGGGGGGGGGGGGGGCCCCCCCCCCCCCCCCCCGGGGGTTTTTTTTGGGGCCCGGGGGGGGGGGGGGGGGGCCCCCCCCCCCCCCCCCCGGGGGTTTTTTTTGGGGCCCGGGGGGGGGGGGGGGGGGCCCCCCCCCCCCCCCCCCGGGGGTTTTTTTTGGGGCCCGGGGGGGGGGGGGGGGGGCCCCCCCCCCCCCCCCCCGGGGGTTTTTTTTGGGGCCCGGGGGGGGGGGGGGGGGGCAGTCCCCCACCCACAGCCCCGCATCGCATCAAGAGCCGGGGCCACGAGCAGCTGTTCCGAGCTGGAGCCGTCACGAAGCTGGTCCTGACTCGGGATTTCATAAAGCCGACAAACGCCACTCGATCCCCGGCGGCTTTTCCGCACCACGGCTCGGCCAGAGGCTGCGGCTCAGGGCAGGACTGACCTGCCCCGGTCCTTTCCCCCAGACGCGCCGAGTGCGAACGAAGCCTTGCCCTTTGCGGAGCAGCAGCCGGGGGCGGCGGCTCCGCTGGATGCCCGGTGGAGACCCCGCAACAGCGCCCCGCAGCTGGCTCGCGAGACTTGCTGGAAGCTACAAACAAAGGGCACCGGGCGCGCGCAGGGGCCGGGCAGTGCCACCTGCCCCTGGCACCCGGCCGCCGGCAGGAGCCGCCCAGCTGGCCCCG